CTTTTCTTCCCTCCCCAATCTTCATTCTCTCCCCTATAGCTCCTCCCACTCAGAACAAAACCTGGCCACTTCCAGCATCTGAGGTTGAGCCCCAAGTTTGGGACACCTCCACTCCGGGCCTGGCCTCTCATCACACTCCCATTCACATCGCCCTCAAAGATTCCTGTGTGTATCCTTGTAGGAACTCTCCCCTGGTGAAGGGCTGACTCAGGGTCAGCATACAGGCCTGGAAGCCCGTGAACCCTTGCCAGGTTCAGGTCACTGTATCCAGTGTGTTTGGGTACCTGAGCAGTACTGGCTGTACAGGGATACGCGGAGAGAAGGCTCCCGGTTTAAATGTGACTACACAGGAGCGATTGGTGCAGACTCCTTCTAGGAAAATCAGAATCTGTGGCCACCTCTTTCTGGATGTCACCTCAGGATTTCATCTCGGGTAGTCTTCCTAGAATTATGGTCTTCTCTGTTCACAAGCACAGGCTGAGTTGACAGCAGGCATTTCCCAGCCAACGGAATCCGGACATTTTGACTGGCAGAGAACACAGAGGGGTGGTCGGCCACAACACAGGCAATTGCATCAAAGAAAGTGGAGTGTGGGGCGGTGACGAAGACAGGGGCTTCCTCTCGGTGGCCTTTTTGCCTTTCACCTTAACCAGGAATCCAGCAAAAAAGAATGCAATGTGAAAGAAGAACTTGAGGGCTGACTTCATCAGGTATCTCCTCCAATTTCCCCATGGATTTGGTCGGTGGAGTAGGAAGATTAATGGTAGATAGTATGGCCGCTGGCCAGAAGAAGATGAAGAGGAAGGTGATGCAGGACACCCGCACCGGAACCAGCACAGACCCCAGGAGGATGATGCAAGCCCAGCGCCATGCACTGATGAGTGTCTGCTGCATGAAGGGGTTGGTCACTGCTGGAGGGTATAAGGACTTGTTCACCTCATGGGCAGTTGCACTGTCCCACACCTTCACTTTGATCTCTGTGGATGGCTGAGCCATGAGGTCTACTTCTCAGTATATTGATGGTGTGGATCTGGGGATGGTTTCTGGTGTGCACCCCTTTCCTCCCATTCAAGCTATACGTCTGTTTGCATATAATTAGACCCCTTAGAGCCAATTGTAAATTAATAGGAAATGATGCACTACCTTTAAAAAGCAACAGGAGAATTTAAGTCTCATCAACAGAACCCTCATTGTGTGTTGTTTGCAACATCTTGCTTTTGACATATATGGTTAATAAATTTACACATAATTTCTGGCATTGATATTATTCATGTGTACTTACTAAAGATATACTAATTTGAATGGCTCCATGCTGATTACAACTTTCAAATTTAAGTCCTAATACCAGGAAAATTTGCTATGAGCTACTTTGGCAACTAGCCAGTGAAATTCATTTGCCATCCTTACAAACTGATTTCTATGGAGATGATCATAACTCTTTATACTAAGAGGTTTAGTGGACTTTTGAGCCTTGATGTTATGAGCATATTTCCACATACATTGAAATTTAGGAAGAGATCTTAAAGGAGAAAGGGGGCAGAAGAGAAAGCAATGGGCTTCATGTGACATGACAGTAGATGGAAGCTTGGGGCTGGAGAGATTGCTCAGTGGTTAAGAGCACTGTCTGCTCTTGCAGAGGACCCTGGTTCAATTACCAGCACCCACACGGCAGATAACTCCCATCCAAAACTCCAGTTCCAGGGGCTCCGATGCCCTCTTCTGACCTCTGTGGCAATGCACGACAGAGTATACCTACCTACATGCCGGCAATATACTCATACACATAAAATAAAAATGATAAAATTTAAAAAAAAGAAAGTAAATTTGTGAGAAGGAAGGGGATCAGTAAGGGGGGAGCAAAGGAGGATGGGAGAGAGCATTTGAGGAGAGGAATGAATAAAAATAGAATATAATGACATATATGTGTGAAAAATGCCGTAGTAAAGCCCATCACTTAAACACTGATAATAATAAAAAAAGGAAATTAGAGAACATTCATTATGATGGGCCAGAATTGGCTATGGCAAGTGTGATTGATATTGTTAATATTATTCTACATGAACCAGTCAATGTTCTAAACTGATCTTAAGTAATAATAACAAAAAAAGCTGTAAAATCAATTTTTTCAGGATTTGATTCCTGGGTCATCACTCAGTGTCCAGGACCTGTTCCTTCTTTGTTGCTGCCCTTTGGAAGTGACTGAGAGGGAGCAGAGTTAGTGAATCCAGCTTTCTTCTGTATCTGGTAGCATTCCCAACTCTGACAATGCTATATTGAGGATTCCTGCTGTGTTTGCTAATTGTTCATTTGAATTCCTTTTCCCAGGATTAAAACTCTTGATAGGTCTTGGTTCTGTCTATTGAACTATGTCAGGTTACAGCTACAAGAAGAGTGCTACTGATAGAAAAGCCCAGTAAACAAACTCTGATATGAGTGGAAAACAGTGAACTTCACAACCTAGATCTAGGCTACTTCCAGGCTCCAACATGTACACAGGGGGAACTGATGATTACACATTCAGCTTCATTCTCATGTCTGTAAATTGGTGATATGCCCTACCTTGTAATGTGGTTAAGAGACTCCAGTACAATGTACCTAAACAATTGAGCCTGTATTGTAAATCAAGGTTGCTATGGTTCAATGAGAATTCTTAAGGACATTCCATATTCTTCTGTCACTACTAGGACTAGGCTTAATGAAGAAAACATTCCTTTGATTAGCTAAGTCTTATTTGGGAATACAGTGTAGTCACCAAGGTTCTATGACCTGGTTGTCCCCTGTGTCAAAGGAGGATCCCAAGACCGTGTGCAGTGGTCACTCGAGCAGGTATGATTCCCTCTTATGTGACTTCCTATTCTACAATGTTCATTTCTACTCCTTAATCTTTGCTTAACTGTATATACTTCTTAAGGAAAAATTCTATGTTTACATATCGTCTTTTTTTATAGTTCCCCACAGTACTTGGAGGTATGTCAGATGTAGTATAATATTCAACCATAACACAGTGCTATAACAGTTCATCCTTCCGTCATTACCCACAGTTTCAGTTACCAGGGGGTCAATCAGGACTTGAAAATATTAAGTGAAAAATTACAGAAATAATGCATGAAGTTTTAAATTGTGCACCAGTCTAAGTAACATGATAAAATCGCACACTTTTCAGCTTCATCCCACTCAGGAAGAAAACCATCTCTGCCCAGCATAGCCAGGTTGAATGTATCTCTACCCACAAGGGGCCACTTGCAGTTCACACAGTAGCCGCTCAGCTTTCAGGTCCATTGCCCGGCTGTGTAGTGCTCGCATTAAATAAAACTTGTATTTTGCTCAATGATACCTAATTTTATTCACCAATGGCCTCAAAGTGCCAAAGAGAAGCCACAAGGGCTTCTTTTAATTGAAAAGGTGAAAGTTTTCCATGAGGAATTAAAAAAAAAAAACCTGTATGCTATGAAAATGGAAAGAAGGAAAAAAGTCATGCTAATTTTGCTACACACCTCAAATGGAAAAAGTTACAGCCACAGTGAGTGTAAGTGCTTAATTGAGATGGAAAGGTATTATTGTACAGGGTTTAGTTCTGTCTGCAGTTTCAGGTATATGTGAGGGGTCTTGAAATGCATTCCCAATAGATAAGAGGAAATCATTGCATTTCTTCATTAAGAAAATATTTGAGTGTCTGGAGTATACCAGACTTTTATTCAATACTTGATATACATCAGCTTTTAAAAAAAATTTAAAAAATATTGCCCTGTAAAACTTGAATTCTGGTGCACACAGGAATTACAGCATTAATTTTTTTTATTGCATTGATGGGGAAAATGCATTTTCATTCTTTTTCTAAATTTCACTAATTAATCTGGAGAATTAAGGCAAGTAGATATGCTTCTCTACTCTGTATTATTTAACAAATATACATCTGAATACAATATGTGAAAATTTCTGATTTTCTTGATAGCTGTACCACAATATAAATTTCAAATATAGTTTAATATTGCCAGCATAAAGGGAACTTATGGCCCATTTTAAGAATATATCTTTACCTAGCTGTGTTTACTTTCAAACTAATTTATATATTATAAATCGAAGAGAGGTGATAATGGAATTTTTAAGGGTTAAAAAATTAGTAAAAAGACCAGGCATGGTGGTGCATGCTTTTAACCCAATACTCAGGAGGCAGAGACAGGTGGATCTCTTTGAATTCCAGGCCAGCCCCACTGCAGGGAGACCCTATTTCAAAAAGCCAAAAAACAAACAACAAAAAAACCCCAACAACAAACCCAAAACCCCACAACAAATAAAACCCCCAAACAAACCAACCAAACAAACAAAAATAGTAAAAAGAACTTTTGCAGGGTGGGGGTGGTTTTGAGACAAGGTCTCCCTTTAGTCCCAGTTGGCCTGGAACTATGTAGACTAGGCTGGCCTTTACCTCACAGAGATCTGCCAGCCCTTGCCGCTGCCTCCTGAATGCTGGGAATAAAGGCACATAATCCACCACATCTGGCTCAAAAAGAATTTTTTAATAATAAAATTAAAATTTATGCCTTTGCAGTTTTGCCTTTTATACTGTGACGCAGCTAATCTTTCATGTACATTTATAAAGTGCAGCACATGTTAACAAGATAGAGAAAACAAGCAACCAAATCTGAGACAGTTCCCCAATTACCTTTTTGTACAATTGAATATGTAATTTTAAGTCAGATACTTTTCTGTGTAAATAGAGCCAATGAAAATATATATGACGGGGCTGGAGAGATGGCTTAGTGGTTAAGAGCACTGACTGCTCTTGCAGAGGACTCAGATTCGATTCCTAGCACCCACATGGTGGCTATGAACCATCCTTAACTCCAGCTCCAGGGGAATCCAAAGCCCTCTTCTGACCTCTGAGGCACTGCACAACATGGATGTACTCACATACGTGCAGGCAATACACTCATACACATAAAATAAAAATAATAAATAAAATATTTTTTAAAAATTAAAAAAAGAAAAAATGACATAGATTTTTCCATACCATTTGTCACTATATTTATTTATGATCACAGATATTAAAACAAATTTTTTCCTGATGAAACATAAACAGATGAACAAATTTTTTTAAGTATTCAGAGATTCCATCATAGATTCCTCATAGAAGATAAAGAAAAGTCAGTCTCTTTTTCTTGTTTCTTCTTTTAGAAATGTCCATATCAACTTGTTCACTATGTCAGGTTGGTCTTGCTGAAGCCAATGGCTAGCTTCTGACAAAATGGTGAGTCGGAAATAGTTTTTAACATAAATCTTTGTAACTTCAGCCATCTCAACCTCCATAAATGCATCCTTCTCTCCCCACAGGAGTAGTGTCGGAGTAGTCACCATGTGATGTTTGAGAGGCAGGCAGCTATCAAAACAAAACACATGGGCTTGAGAATCATTGTGAGAAGTAAAGTAATATTTTTCCATAATGTTCCATAAAGACCATGCATTCCTCAAAGGGGCAACATCATCTCTCGGTAAGGAGGTGAAAACTGTGTCTGGAGGGATGGCTCAGCAGTTATGAGAGCTCTTTCAGAGGACCTGAGTTCAATTAGGCAGCTTACAAACTGCCTGTAACTCCAACGCCAACACTTCTGGCCTCCTCAGGCACCTGCACTCATGTATACATACCACACGCAGTCACATACACATGGTTTCTTTTTTGGTCTTTTTGAGACAGGGTCTCCCTGTAGCTCCAGTTGGCTTGGAACTCACCATGTAGACTAGGCTGGCCTTGAACTCAGAGATGGCCTATCTCTGCCTCTCAAGTGCTGGGATTAAAGGTGTGTGTTACCACGCCTGGCACAGTACATGCACATAATTGAAACATAAAGGTAAATATTTAAAGGGGTGGAAATTGGTTCCTAGGAGGGTAGATTAGCCTTGTCATTTTACTTATGAAATATGTATATGTATAAACAGATATTAAAATTTTACAGGGCAGGGATAACTTGGGAAAAATTGTCTAAAAAGGCTCCCTAGAGAAGAGATAATGACATAAATGATTATAAAATACCACATTAGGAAATCAACTTAAACAGTAAAATAAAAGAATATTTATAAAAGGGTTCAATAAGCTCGGTGTGTTGGTACATGCAATCACAGTAACTCAAGGAACAAAGGTAAGGGATCACTGAAAGTTCAAGGTCAATCTGGGCTTCATAGTGAGTTCTAGGACAGCGAGGGCTACAAGATTAAGACCCTGTCTTAAAACAAACTCAAAAAAAAAAAAAAAGAAAGAAAGAAAGAAAAAGAAAGCAAAATGGGATCTAACAAAATTTAATTGGTGATGAGCCTAGCAAAACTTATGAGGGCTATAAATTACACATGAAATTCATCATGATTAGACATATTTCCCTTCATATGGCTTCCCAAATTGAATTTTTTTTTCCCACTCAGACTGCATTCTCGTCCTCTAATCTCCCAAAGGAGAGAATGATCACCAATGGCAAGTGTTAATTGCAGCAAAGCAACACCAAGAGCTGGCTTCATGCTCCTCCTCATGGTTTCTGGTACTCTACACTGTCAGAGAAACTTCTCTAGTCATGAACTATAGAAATGATCCCTGAAAACACAGTCTTCCGAATTGAATTTTAAATTGTGTTATTCAAATATGTTTTGAATCGCTGTTAGGTAATCTGATACATTTTATGTGGAAATTGGAATTGAAAAATAAAAGCATACATATGAATGGAGCTTTAATATTCCTGATACTAAGCTCAGCACAGTGGCATGCACCTTTAATCCCAGCACAGTCAGGTGGATCTCTGTGAGATCAAGGCCAGCCTGGTCTACATAATGAGCTCCAGATCAGCTGGGGCTACAGGGAGACCCTGTCTCAAAACAAATCAAAACAAAACAACCCTCCCCCAAATTTACATGATACTAGATTTATTTTACAAGTTTTAAAATTTTTAATTAATTAATTTAATTTTGAGATGGCATCTTGCTATTTTTAGTGTAAATCTGTCCTTGAACCTCCTACCTCAGCCTCCCAAACAGCTTCAAGAAGATCCTTTTAAAAACAGAATGTTTTACTGTGTATTTTCTTAGATACAAAATTGATAAAGAATAAAAATAAAATCATGTCTAAGTCTATCATCAAAAGGTTATTTGGTTATTTTCTGTTCATATCATTTACACTGAAATCATATAACAAATACAGAGTTTATACACATTATGCATATGAAATTTTATATTAAAATATATTTTTAGAATTTTTTCATAACATTTTTTCAAAAATGATGACTAAAGCTCTTATTTGATAGTATACTATCCCATAAATGACTTTTATGATTCCTCCATATATTGTGGTATTTTACTCAACTTGAACTGATGTTGTGAAAAACATTTAGTGCCAAATCTTGGCTGGCCTGTCAGGTAGTTTTCTTGGGTCAGAGCTGGAAATTGGAATTTCTGTGTATAAACTATTTTGAGCTTGTGAACCCTTCCGTAACACTGTCAGAGCCTTGCCTGGCTTGCATGAGGCCCTGTAATCCATTTCCCTCATCACCAAAACAAAATGAAGAAACAGGCTGTTCCCATGGGCTGCTGCAGTGTGCAGGCTACCACACATGCTCACCACAGACTAAATTTTTGACTCCCATTAAGAGCGGCTATCACTGAGTTATAAAAATGCTCCTAAAAATTAAGTTCTTTGCAGACTGGGTAGACTCAGAGGTAGAAGGCTTGCTTCGTATGTTCAGGGGTCTAGGTTTAATCATTTAACAACAACAAAAAACTTTAAAAAGGGCTGGCAAGATGGCTCAACAGGTAAAGGTGCTTGCCACCAAGCCTGATGACCTGTTTGATCCCTGGAACCTACATGATAGGAGAGAACCAACTCCCACAGGTTGTCTTCTAATCTCCACATGCACTTCATGGCAGAGGCATGTGTGCACACACACACTACACACACACACACACACACACACACACACACACACACACACAAAATACAATAAAATATTAAATTTTTTACAGTTTAAGTTCTCATTGAATAAGTAAACTGTCAGAAAATGAACCTTTACCTAATTACTCATAGGCTGCTACATAAACCTGCAAGCTACTTAAATTCTACAGCACATAAAATGCTTAAAACAAAAATATTTAGGGGCTGGAGAGTTGGCTCAGTGGTTAAGAGCATTGGTTGCTCTTCCAGAGGAGTTCGCTTCCCAACATTCATATGGTGGCTAACAACCATTTGTAACTCCAGTTCTAGCAGATCCAATGCCCTCTTCTGACCTCCTTGGCATTGCAAGACATGGGTGCACTTATGTACGTTCAGGCAATACACTCATACACATAAAATTAAAACATTTAAAAACCCATTTAACAGTTACCTGCATACTTTGACAATATCTGTGCGTATAATAATTCAGTTAATAAGGTAAAAGATGTTTAAAGCATTAGTAGTTGGGGCTGGAAAGGTGACTCAATGCATAAGAGCACTGGCTGCTCTTGCAGAAGACCGGAGTTCAGTTCCCAGCACCCACATGGCAGCTAACAACTGTCTGCAACTCCAGTTCCAGGGGATCTGATGCTGTCTTCTGGCTTCCTCAGGCATTGCATGAACAGATACATTTAATATATGGCAGGCAAAATACTCATATACATGAAATACAAATAAATAATAAATAAAAGTTTTAAAAGATTAGTGGTCAAACAGAAATACAAAATGTTTATCAGATCAAATTGGTGATAAAAAGGAGAAGTTCCCACAAAACATATTCTTTGGTCTTAAGATTTTAAATTGCTAAATTTCACACTAAATATGTTACAAATAAAGTAAATAAAACAGTATTTTTTTTAATCTTTTTGAGACAGGGCCTCCCTGTAGCCCCAGCTGGCCTGGAACTCGCTATGTAGACCAGGCTCAAGCTCAGAGATCCCCCACCTCTGCCTCTGCCTCCCAAGTGCTGGGATTAAATGCAGGCACCACCATGCCCAGCAGTAAATGTTTTAAGAGAGTTGGTTATAGTATATTAAACTGCATAACTTACTGGGAAATAATTGGCAAAATATTTCTGATTTAAAATGATTAATATTATTATATGTAATGACGATTTGAAAAATCTAAAAAGCTGTGACAAATAATAATGATTATTGCTCTGTTGCTAATCATTTATAAGGCCTATCAAATTTATTTTAGCAGATCTATTTCAAATTAATGTGAGTTTAATATGTTATGCTCCAAACTCCAAGTTCTTATATGATTTATAAATAGTAAGGCAGCGATTTCCAGTGTTTTATACTCCATCATTACTCTTTTTGAAATTTTTTTTCTTCTGCTCCTCCCATCCCCAATACTGAGGCTTGAGCTCAAATACTCAAACATGCTATTTAATCTATTATTGAGCCACATACCCCAATGCCATTACATTTGGTGTTTGTTTTAGAGACAGGGTTTTACTATGTAGCTGAGGCTAGCCTTGAAGTTTTGAGTGTCTTGCCTCAGCCTCACAAATTCTGAGATTAAAGGCAATTCTATCAAACCCCATTCCTGTCATTACTTTTCAGAAAATATAATGTGGAACTACCTCAGTAGCTTGATTTGAATTAAAAGTAATATAGAAGTGATACCCACATCAGGAAAGAAAACATTACAGGAATAAGTCTATTTTTCTGCATATTCTGTTTACCTTGATACCATTTCTTTTCTTCACCTAAGCAGTGTTTTCTCAGGGTAGGTGCTCCATGAACAATACCACCATCACCTGAGCACCTATTTGCCAGCTATGCCAGTTCCTGGGCCCATTCCAAACTTGCTCAGTCAAAATCTAAGGGAAGGTCTGGTCTGTTTGGTCAAACCTTACGGGTGGTGCTGACATTCAGTGATGTTTGAGCCCCACTGTCATAGGCCTAATGCCTAGGTTTGACTTGGGTTCTTACCAAAGCAATAGCTTCTGCTTTGAGTTTTGTTGATTCTCTTTATTTTGTTTTCTATTGTATTGCTGCCTGCTTTTCATTTAATTTATTTTCCTTTGCATTTGATTTGCTTCCATGTAATTGTTTTTCTAACTCTTAAATTAGACCTTTAGCTTGCTAATTTTCAACCTTCTTTTCCCCTACCAGTGTGTAGGATGGTAAATAGGATCACGTCAATGAACCAGGAGGGTGGCACGCTGCTCCAACGCCTTACACTTCTTTATCTGGCTCTTATTTTTAGCCTTTAAAGTAACCTTTATAATACTACTAGTAAATGTTAGTAGTAAATGCTAGTAAAAAAAATATACTAGCAAATGTAAGCATAGAGTTTCCCTGAGTTTTGTGGCCTCTCTTGAAATAACTGAACCTGAGAAGGAAGTCTTGGGAGTCCCAATTTGTACTTGGTTGGTCATAAGTTCTGGAGACCTGGTCTTGTAA